AAGGTCTCTTGTACTCAGAAAATCAGGGCCATGATTTTGCTGACTTACTGAGCCCTGACTAAGTCAGCTACACTTTCTGAATATAGCGTTTGACTTTTGAGTGGTTCCAGATAGCTGGGTTCTTGATGTCTGTTCTGAATGAAGTTCAACAGATCATGTACCCTCAATGAAAATTCAAGAACAGGGTCAGACATGGTACCCTGATCTTGGGAATAATCAACATATGTATTTTTTCTTTTGCTTCATCTTTGTGTGTTGTAAACATCATCTTGCCTTCCTGTTTTTTTAAAACTATTTATTTATTTGAAAGCATGAGAAAGAGGGAGACATGCACACACATCACAAGCCGTGATCCAGGAACTCCGCCTGGATCTCCCACACAAAGGGCAGAAAACCAAGCATTTAAGCATCATCCACTGCTTTCCCAGGCACATTAGCAGGGAGCTGGGTTGGGCACGCAATTCCAAATGACACCCTGATATTGGATGCAGGCGACCCAAGTGGTAGTTCAATCGTTATACTATAACACCCTCCCTTACTTTCCTGGATTTTTTTTTCCTTTGTCTTAAATTTAGAATTTTCCCTAAATAACTGCTCCAGAAACTCTCAAAGTTACCTAATTAGTGATTACACTCTGCAAATGTAGAAGAGCGTTTCCCCAGCTAGTTGACTCAGTTAGTTAGAGCAGGATGCTGATAATCAAGCCACAGCCACAGGTTTGGGCTCCGTGCAGGCTGATCAGTGGGTGCAGGTGCCTCAGGCAAAGGTGTGGCTGCCGTCCCCAAGAAGACCTGCTGCAGTGGTCATGTGTCAGCAACTCACTCTGTCCCCAGCAGAACCCGTTCTGCTATTGAGTGGGTACGGCCACAAATGGGAGTGCAGTCCACTCCTGGAAGGGTGGATTCCAGGGAAAGTGAGAGTAGGGAGCAAGGAAGAGGAGGTGGGAAGAAAGGAGGGGGTAGTGGGAACCAGACAGGTTAGTGGAGCTAAACCAGAAAAGGAGAGTGACAGAAGGCGCCGGCCATGACCTTTAATCAGGGCTCTGTCTCCTGGCAGGCTGGAAAGCATCTCCAGCTTCCACCTGCTCTGTGGGGCTCACACTGCTGATGCACTGCTTTAATTTGGAAAGCCTTCCTCTGGAGAGGCATGGCTTTTCCTTGCTCCGAGGCTAAAGTGCTCCCGAGTGTGGCATTCTCTGTGACAGATGTACCACCGTTATGCTTTAGCTGACTCCAAACCCACAAACTTCCCGGGGCCGTGGTGGTCTATTTGATGTCCAAGAGCGGGGGTCTCCTTTGAGAGCCCATCTTTGTTGGCATAGCCTCCAGGAAGATGGGGAGGTGTATAATCCCTTTGTTCTGAAGCAGCCTCCAACCCCCAACCCCCAACCCCCAACCCAAGGCTCTCCTTTGATAAGGCCTGAACCTACATGTGCTGATGGGCATCGACAGCACCCGACCCAGCTCCCAGAAAGGCACTGCCCACCGGAACCTCTCCCAAGGCTGCTCCATTTTTTCACAGGGCATTCTATCTCCATGTGACTCTCTGCAAAGATAAAGAATATCAAGAATATTTGAACAACTCCAAAACTACAAGATTGTCTGGCAACCCTCCCAGCCATGGCTTTGCTTCTTACAGGAATCTAAGATCGTTGAGGATGGGCTCCCACACGGGACTGGCAGGACCAGCCAGCTCTGTCCATGCCCATCTGTGATGGTTTTGTGTATCTGTTTCTCCATGATGAAGCTCTGTCGCTCTCTCTGACTGCTAACCTTCTCGTTACCAGAACCCGCGCTTGAAAGGAGGCAGACACATTACCATGGACCACTTCCACTGAAACATCTGCCATTTATCTTCTACCGGGGGCTGTCACAGCCCCTGCCAGCCCAGGCACTGCTGAAGGGGCTATTATTTCTCCAACTCGCTCATATCCATCCAAGAAGGAGGAATTAATTTCCACCTACCAAACAGTTCTTTTCTCTCTCTCTCTCTCTCTCTCTATCTCTCTCTCTCTCTCTCTCTCTCTCTCTCTTCCTCCCTCCTTTCCCCTCCCCATGACCAGATAACAGAGGGTTAGAGTTTTGGCAGAAAGACTTTCCCACCTTTCTCGTATTAAGTTGCAAATATACCAAAGCTTCATTGCTATTCAAGCAAATTCCCCCTTGTAGGCCCAACACTTGCTTTTCAGTGTTTTCATTTGAGACAACAATCTAATTATTCCATTGCCAAGAACCTGAGAAAAGGAAAAAAAAAATCTGAAGGGCTGTGCTAATTGGCTTATAACCCCCATGTTTGCATATCGTGCTTTTATGGTGAATACGTTTCTTGGTTCACTTTGCTGGTGATAGCCTTCTATCTTGAATGGATTTGGATTATTACTCTTTGTTAACACTGAGTAAAGACAAAACAGGAGCTGTTTAAAGCAGTAACACTCGACACAGCACTGGGCATCACAGAGAGCATTATAATCCTACAGTTAGAGATGTGCTTATGGCAAGAGATTTCCACAAGGTTGTGGAGAACGGAATTCAAAGATAAGCTTAATTTGATATTGAGGGGCTAGAATAGCGGCTCAATAGGCTGATCTTCCGCCTTCAAGTGTCGGCAGCCCATGTGGGCACCAGTTTGTGTCCTGGCTGCTCTACTTCCCGTCTAGTTCCCTGCTTTTGGCCTGGGAAAGCTTGCTGAAGATGGCACAGATTCTGTAATCCTACACACATTTGGAAAACCAAAAGAAAGCTCCTGGTTCCTGGCATTCGAGAAATGAACCAGTGGATGAAAAATCTTTCTCTTTCCAATAAAAATCTTTCTCTTTCCAATAAAAATAAATAAAATTAAAAAAAAATTTGTGTTGGACCTGGCGCCGTGGCGCAAGTGGTTAAGGTCCTCACCTTGCACGCCTGGGATTCCATATGGGCGCCAGTTCTATCCCGGCAGCCCCGCTTCCCTTCCAGCTCCCTGCCTGTGGCCCAGGAAAGCAGTCGAGGACGGCCCAAAGCTTTGGGACCCTGCACCTGCGTGGGAGACCCGGAAGAGGCTCCTGGCTTCGGATCGGCATAGCACCGGCCGTTGCGCTCACTTGGGGAGTGAATCATCGGATGGAAGATCTTCCTCTCTGTCTCTCCTCTCTGTATATCCGCCTTTCCAATAAAAAAAAAAAATTGTGTTGAAAAAAAATTAAAGTCCATGTGTGGCTTTCTCTATAACATGCCCCTTCAGTGAGCTTTCTGAAGCCCTTTCCTGCAGTACACAGGACATGCCAGCTTTTGCAGGGGCACTTGGGACCTATAATCTCTGCATTTCTTCTGTGCCCACCTCAGCCTCAGAAACAGCTAACCACCAGGCAGGGTGTCCTTTCCCCAGTACCTCAGCTTTTCGTCATTGAAATTTAGTGCTTTTGCAAGGCGTAACAAAATGTCCAAGTTTATAAGTGTAGAGGTGACGTTTCGTGTTGCCATTATCATCTATACCTCTTCTAATTAGATTTTGAAAAGACCAATCTTTATTTGAGAGGGAGCCAGATCGATACACAGGCTGAGAAACAGACAGAGCTGTGATGCACTGGAGCCATAGCTGGAGTCCAAAGCTGCAGTGCAATCCTGCCACTTGGGTGGTCGGAAGCTGGTCACTTGAACCATCACCTGCGGCCTCCCAAAGTCTGAATGGATAGGAAGCTAGGACCACAGTGGCTGAAGCTGGCTGTGAACCCCAGGCATGATCATGGAAGATGCAAGTGTCTTATCTGCCTTTACTGTCAGGCTAACGGCCTGCTCCCCAATGACCTTTGTTCTGGCTTTCTATATTCTGTATACAGAAGAAAAAAATGTCTACTGTCACATTCTTATAGGAAGCTTTAAAACATCCATCAATACAGAGAGAGGAGAAAATGAAAAAACAAATGCTTCCTTGATTTTATTTGTGATTCTGATCTACCTGGTAACAGCCCCAGATATGTCCCTATGAATTCTGACAGCAGAGTCAACAAAAGAGCAACCTGGAAAACAACAAAGTTGTTAACACACAACATAAGAGTCCTTGTAAAATTGCTCCAGATATTGAGGCTGGCATCATGGTATAGGAAACTAATCTTCTGCCTGCATGCAATGCTGGCATCCCATGTGGGCACTGGTTCATGTCCCAGCTGCTTTACTTACCATTCAACTCCCTGCTTGTGGCCTGGGAAGCAGGGGAGAATGAACCACATGGGAGACCCTAAAGAAGTTCCTGGCTCTTGACTTTAGATCGGCTCAGCTCCAACTATTGGCGACATTTAGGGAGTGAAACGGGGTGGAAGATCTTTTTTGGTCTCTCTGTCTCTCCTCTCTATAACTCTGCCTTTCAGATGAACATAAATACATTTTTAGAAATTACTCCAGATATTAAATACAGTAATTATCAAAGTGAGGATCAGTCAGGAAGTCAGACATAGTTTGTTTTTAAGTCAGGCATTTTTACTTACTTATTTTTAATTTTTATTTGAAAGAATTACACACACAGACACACAGAGAAAGATCATCCATCTACTGGTTCACTCTGCAAATGACCAGAACACAATGTCCAGAACTGAGCCAATCCAAAACGATGAGCCAAGAACTTCTCCCCCGAGTCTCCCACATGTGGGTTCAGGTTCCCAAGGCTGTGGACCATCCTCTTCTGTTTTCCCAGGCCACAAGCAGGGAGCTGGATTGGAAGTTGAGCAGCCAGGACATGAACTGGCGCCCATATGGGATGTTGGTGCTTGAGGGTGGAGGATTAGCCAGTTGAGCCCACATGCTAGGGCCTCTAAGTAGATTTGTCTGTCTGTCTGTTTAAACCCTACACCCTAAATCTGTTACAGATTTAGTTAGTTCTTCACGTTAAGATCAGAATGTTTTAAATCAATCCTGGGATTCCCTAACTCCCCATCACCGAGGGGTGCAAGATGAGACTGCATGTATCTGGACCACGCTTTACAGGAACTCCCAGATCCTTTATGACTGGCCCCACTTTTTTCTCCACAGGCCACGAAAATCATGACACCTTGCAGATCTCTGAAATCCCCATGGGAATACGACTTTCCCATCTACAATGGCACCATAGACAAGTCAGACCCAGACTTCCTAGCGTTCAAGGAGCGCTTCAGCTCAGCCTGGGGAAGCATATTCTCCGTGCTGGAGCACCTGCAGAAGTTTCTCCAGGATTACAGCATCCCGGAAGTGAAAGTGAAGGGGACAGCTCTGGTGGCCCTCCTCCCTCAGATTGAGTTGAAAAGTAAACCGTCACGCCTGGACCTCCTGTCGGTGCTGGAGAACCCGGACCGTGTGCAAATGCTGCTGAGTGTCCCCGGGCAGAAGTTCAAAGGCCGGGAGGGCAAGATGAATGCTGCCATCAAGATCCAGGCCACGTGGAAATGCTTCAAGGAGCGGCGGCTCTTCCTCCTGTACCGCGCGCAGAAGTGGGCTTCGGGCGTGATCGCCATCGCCTGGCTGCTGCACTGCCACAAGACGCGGCTGAAGGCCATCCTGAGGGAGTCCAGGCAGAGGCACCTGGAGAATTTCCGCATCCGAGCCAAGGTGCCAGCTGTCGAGGCAGCCCTGCTTTGTTAAACATTTCTTGCTTGAGCGAGCGCCATACTTCGTCTCTTTATCTTCTCCCTCTCGCCAGCCACCCTCTTTCTCCACCTATCATGCTTTCCACTCCCCTCCACCAACTCTACATCATATATATAATATATATAGATATATATATCTTCTTTGCATCATATTTTAGCTTTCCTTGGGAATCGGGATTCTGCACCTGCTAAAATCTGTTGCAGTTTTTCCATAGCGTAGAAAAAGTCCCTTCACTTCCACTACTATAGTAGCTCTGTCAGAAAAATCAATATGTTCACTGTGTTACCTTCTCCCCCTATCTATACCTTCTGGCACTTTCATTTGCTAAGGGGGTGGGGGAAAAAAAAAGAAAAGAAATCCTCTCTTGTCTCCATGGCTGTCACCACTTTGTCAGAAAGTATTTAAGTTTTCAGACAGCCTTTTAATTAGTGCTCACAATTTCATTTATGTTTGCTTTCTTTTTTTTTTTCATTCATATTCTGTTAATTAAGTGAGCTGTCTCTAATCTTCCCCTGCCAGTAGCATCATGTAGCCACCTAATTAAATTAATTGGGGAAGATGTTTTAAGTATGTAATTAAATCAATTAATATAATTTATGCCTGGCTTAACTGTACAGTGGAAAAAAAAAAACAGCTGAAGTTTGACTAGATGAATCCACTACAGCTCCCTGTCACTGATCAATGCTCCTCTTGATTTTCAGCATCTGGCAACCAACTGGAATCGCATCAGGACCTCCAAGAGGACCATTATCCATATCCCATCATTAGGTATAACACTTTTGCCTGCAAATCTAACAGCAACCTCTATTACCCACCACATTATGGCTCCTTGATTGAGTTCAAGGAAGGCCCCTTGTTTTATTCAAATTGGTCTCGGCAGGAAAATGTTCTCGACATGATGAGAGTAATAACACAGGGCCCTCGCTCGAAACGGCGTTTAATTTGGGGATTAAGCAAATAAAGTCATTATGCGGGGGGCTACTATTCCGCGGAGAGGTGATTTGCCGTAATTCGCTTTCATCTGTATGAAATGAACTAAAAAGTTGTATTTTTTTTCCTCCCCCTCTCGGAAATAACAGATAATGTTTTCGATCTTCCTTTAATGATAGAACAGCCCAGGCCTGGGTGTGTTGTGGCGGTTAACGCCAATAAGCTGGGAGATGGCTGGTACACTGTTTTTAATCAAATGTGCAGTCAAAATGATAAGCTACATTCTCTGAAATTATTTAGTTCTAATTACGAGCAGATGGGATGCTTTATTTGCACCTAGGGCGCCTGAGCAAAAGGAAATGCTGTGTGAACAAGAATAATTAAGAAGTTGAATAGTGTTTTTTGCGCTTAAATAATCTGCAGTTTCATGTTAATTAGCACTAATGTAATTATTTAATTACATTTATGAATTGGGGGACTCAAAAAGCTGTTGCCTGCAACACAGTGGTGAGATAGGTATGCCAAGATGACATGGGGACTCTCCGAGTTTTGCACTGGAAGTGTTTTTCAATGCACGAGCTGCTGTCAAAATGTTTGGCATTTGTTTGCCTGCTGGTTTATTATGTTTTGTTTTTGTGTCTACCTGGTGTGTCGCACATTTCCCAAGTTGACTTGATAGAGTTCTGACAAATGGCTGAGCCCACAGGACTCTCTGTATCCCACACCAGTTCTTTGTTCAGGCCTTGGAACCAGAGCCATTCACTGAGTGATCTGTCGTAACAGAATTCAGGATTGCCATTTATCTCCGCTCCTGTATGAGTGTACCTGTTTGTGTGCTTGTGTTTAGTGTAGACACGCGATCCACTTGAATAGTTATAAGAGAAGGAAAAAAATTATATCTAAATATAACGAAGATTATTTTTAAAATTAATAAAAATATTAACAGCAACACAGGAATACACATTGTCCTAGTTGCTAGGGTACGTACTTAGATCTAAGTGTCTGTAAGAAAGTTAAGAAAAGGCTTCATTTGCCTATAGTCTTCCGTGTTTGAAATCCGTGCATGTAAGTGAGGCAAGACAGATCTGAGTTTCATCTAACTTGGGCTTTTGTTTTGGTGAGACTACTTTTGCACACAAAATTAGTTCACACACAGAAATTGCACTTGTAATTGATTGCAACTAGAGAGGCTAATTGCAGACCCAATTAACTGGCTCAAGTCCTTCGAATCAGGTGCGAGAGCCTTTGCTTCTGCAACTAATTGTGAACCTGACCCAATATCAGGTGGGATAGTCTGGGTTTTTCTCTCGTTTTTTTTTTTTTAATTCAAAGCATAAATCAGAAATAGGGCTCTCATCCTGCACTGTTAATAAGCACTAAGATGTTAAAGACACCATTTCCAGAAATTTCTTCCTTCTTACATTCCTCTCTCTCTCTCTCTCTCTCTCTCTCTCTCTCACACACTCACACACACACACACACACCCAACCCTCACCCTCCCATGCAGTTAGCCCTGCAGAGAAACCTGCTCCATAGCATCCCTGCAGAATGAAGCAATAATGAAAAGTAATGGCAACGCAAACTGAGATGTAATTCTAAATAACATTGTGCTAGAACTTCAAGAGATTAATGAAATGGGAGGCTAACCTGGCCAATGAAACCAGTTAAAAAGCATTGTCTTAAATCTGATGATTATAGCCAGTTTTCTTATAGATTCACATAGTCAGTTTATATCCATGCATTTTAGATAGAAAAATGGTAGCTGGGTAGATTATAAATAAATAGGTATGAGTCTTCCCATATTGTAATAATTTTAGCCTGCTAAAGAAAAACTGCTAACTACGCATGTTGGAGATGAGAACAAGCTCACGTACTTTTCTCCAGAAATCATTTAGGAATGCCAGCAGTACATATTCACAAGAGAGTAACACCTGAGGATATAGCATTTGTTTTCACACTGTGTGCTTTAGGTTTCAAAAAATAATTTGTGGACATTAAGTTTAAATAACCTTAAGCATCTATCTTAAACCTATCCCACAAAATTCTCAAACGACATCTTTTCTTAAGATGTGCGACAGTGTTTTCTTCTCTAGGCCATGTCCCCTGAGAATATTCCGGAATTTCTGCAACGTGCAACCTGACTTCATTTGTCTTGCACCAGCGGAACTGCCCCACATAATTCATAAGAAACGAAAGTGGATCAAAGGGAAGCCAATATGTTTTTTTTTCTTCCAAATACACTGCAATACAAGAATCTATTCACAGTCATTTCATTTCCAGAGCTGAGATGAATTCACTTTTCAAAATCAGTGGGTAGGATTTGTCAGGTTCAGGTAGGCCCTGAAAGGTAATGCCAGCCTTGTCCACCGTGTTCCTTTCCATAGGAAATTTGCTGTAGAATTAGCCCGTGACATAATTACACCACATCACTGGCCAACCGGGACTGCACTCACTTGTTTGAACCATTAAAATCAAAACGAGGTAGCTGCTGGCCACGTAACACATTGCAGTCGGGGGCATCCAGTGATCTGTTCATGCAGTTTCGGCCTCATTGCTGTAATTGGTTTATCCAGACATCCACAGGCAGAATGGCCCTCCCCTTGAATTCTTAACCACAAAATCACTGTCAGGTACCTTTAAATTTACTACTTGATCACATACACATTAAAGCAAAGACATAGTGTGGTACACCCCTCCTCAAAAGAAGGAGTTGTGAGTTGAATCGATGAATACGTATTTCAGGTAGCGGTCCTAGATAGGAAAGGATTTCTAGCTGTTTTTAAGCTGCGGGATAAATGGGACTGCTGTTGACTAATTGTCCAAAGAAACCAATTGGCCTCATAATTCAATCGGGTGCTAAAATATCATCTTTTCCAAAATGGATAGGCAGCTCTCTTAAGTGGATATTACATATTTTTATCATCATTATTGATGAAATACAATTATAGAAAAATCATCTACCATGGTTCATAGCAGGACTAGAATAGGAGTGTCTATTTTAAGTAAGATCTATCAGTCAAATAAGAAAGAATCACAACAAAGAATCCCAACTCCTATAGAACCAAGTGGAGGCCTTGGTTTAAAAAAAAAAAAAAAAAAAAAGTTTTGTTTCTTTTTTTAAGCCAACCAACTAATTCTGCTTCCAGTCCCTTTAGCCAAGTTATGCCTGCCCCACCAACTTCTAATCTGACCCCTGTACTACCTGATTGCAGGACATTATTTGGTGCCTTGTGGAAGCCCAGAGGTATTTTTTTTTAAATCTATAGAGATTTGAAGGGATGTGCTAAGCACACGACTCCAATGTCCCAAGTAGCTAGGTCCACGTCATCCTACTGACCAATTAAACTCCCAGGGACAGAGCTCCCCCTCCCTCTCTTCCTCCTTTACAATAAAAATAGGAGCCCTCTGGAGGTGGATTTTTATTCTCTCCTCCCTATAGTTTTTATTTCATTGCCAGTGGATCAACAGCTAAGAGGAGAAGTACAGAGTTGAACTTTACGTGGTTCTTTTCCCATTCTGTGAATTCTTTTGGCTGAGGCTACTCAGTAGTTAGTTTGTGGTCTCCAAAATGCTCCATTCCATAAAAATTGTGGAGTCATATAGTGCAAAGCTCATGAAAACATTTCTCAGCTGATCTGTCCCATTGCCAAAGGCCACCAGGAAGGATAGGAAAAGCTGGGGCCAGCAGTTTTCCTGGCAGTTAAAGCAGGGGGAAGGACTCTCACACCATCCCACCAGAGGGCTTGGGTTCAACTTTGGCTCTGGCTTCAGAAGCCAGCTTCTTGCCGATGCACAGCTGGGAGGCAGCAGGCGATGGTTCAAGTAGTCAGGGTTCTAGGTTCCTGGCTTCATCTCAGCCTCAAGATGACCAGGCTGTTGCAGGCATGACAGTGAACTGGTGAAGGAGAGCTCTCTCTCTGAACTGCCGCCCCCCCCAAAAAAGTGCTCACAAGACAGTTGTTTGTGACGAATGAGAACTGTGTGGACTTGAACTCACCTCTCCACATGTTGTTACATGGGCAAGGACAAGAAAAAGCCAAGGGTGTAGTGCTGAAATCACATTTTTCTGTGCCCATGAACACATCAGCACGTTTTTGCTTTCACATTTTTCGTTCTGCCCCTGGACTGGGAAATAGAGACTTTCAGTCAAACCTTTGCAGCCTTCAGCATACATCAGGAAGGAATCTTTCACTTTGCAATGCTGGTGCTGAGCTGGATCCTTGGGACAGGTGCACCGCTAACATCTCCCAGATAAATGTCCTGATTTTTTTAGAATGGGAGCAAAATACACACAACTAGAATTAAAACTTATTCACCCAAGTAACCCAAATCAACACTCCTTCCGATAACCCTATAATATGAAGTGATCTAATTTGGCTTGAGTTCTGGGAAGTAATGCCATGAAATAAGAAATAACATTGAGTTTGGTGTCAGATGCCACCATCCCGCAGGCCTTTCATGAAACACACTGATACCAGGATGAGCTCTAAGATGAATCTTTGCACAAACAGGGAGGAAGATATCTCCTTTCTCTCATCCAAGTACTAACCAGACCCGACCCTGCTTAGCTTCCGAGATCAGACAAGATCACGCACGTTCAGGGTGGTATGGCTGTAGATGCTATCTCCTTTCTTAACGAAAGATAGGGAAAGGTTTGTCCACTGGTTCTCAAACTTTCTAGTTTCAGGACTCCTTTCATTGGAACAATCACTGAAGATTTTCAGAGTGTTGATTTAAGTGAATTATATCTCATTGTTTCCTATTTTAGTGACAACAGAGATTTTTAAAAATTATTAGCAGAGGAGTAAATTCTGGTGTTCTGCAGTACAGTGACTATCGTTAACATGGATTGATTATGTTTTATGAAAAGCTAGAGAAGAACTTGAAGGCTCTAAACATGAAGAAATGACAAGTGTATCAGGAAATAGAAATACTATTTATCCTGATTTGACCATCACACATTGTATGCATGTATTGAATTATCCCATACCCCTTAACTATGTACAGATAATTATGTCAGTTTAAAAAGCAATAAAATAGCTAATAACTTATTTTAAAACAATAGTAATAAACCCATGACTGATGCTAACCTAGGTAACATATTTTAAATAGAAAGGTAACTATTTTTCAAGGAAACAATAACAAAAAAGTATTTAATGAGAAGAGTAATGATGTCTGACAAGTTTGCAGATCTCTTACTAGAACTCAGTTGAGATCTCGCATCTCTACATTCAGTCTATTGCAGTGTTTGCAATGAAGTAAATGAAGAAAACCTGGTCCTACACAGACACCATAGTTAAGTAAAGAAAAAGTATTTTTTAATGTTTTTAAAGTCCTTTCAGATCTTTATGCTGTTTTTCTTTGACATTATACTGAACAGCGATCATTTGAAGCATCAAGGGGATCTGAAATCATTAGTTTAACTTCTCGTATGTCAAAACTCATGAGTGACAATGACTGGAAGAGGCAAATAACATTTTAGGATCCTTTTGAAAATAGTGTTGACCTGGCTGACCACCCCAAAAGGACCAAGTTTCCCTGTGATCCTCAGATCACAACCTGAGACTCCGTGGCTCTGGCCACTTGCAGGACTACACTAGCCACTTCCAAAAAGTCTGAACAAGCCGAAGTCCCATGCGCAGGCATCAGGCACAGCAGTTAAGACACTCACATCCCTTGTCGGAGTGCCTGGGTTTGCATTTCAGCTCACTTACAACCCAGCTGCCTGCCAAGATGCGCACTGGGAGGCAGTAGGAGATGATGGTTCAAGTACTTGGGCCCCTTTCACCCCCTTGGGAGACCTGGATTGAGTTTCTGGTCCCCGGCCCAGCCCCTCAGCACCTAAGGCTGAGAGCATTGAGAGGAGTGAACCAGGGGATAGAAGGTCTCTGTCTCTCTGCCTTTCAAATAAATAAATTTTTTAAAAAGTCCTTGCCCTTTTAGAAGTGAATCCACTTGGACAATTTTTTTCTAAAAATTTTTTAAAATCAACAGCATACCTACTATATTTTCTTATGTGCGCCTGACAAAATCCTCTAAGCAACCCCACCTCAACCCCTAACAACGGTTACATAATCTAAGTGGCCCGGGTACGGATCGCTCTTGTTCTAAGACTCTTGGTCTCTGCCTCTCTTACTGCCTGGTATCTCTCGTGTGCTTTCATGGCAGCACAAGGAATGAAGACTTGGTTATAAGCCCAACATCACAGTTCTTTAGATTATCATAATATGAGATTATGCAGTCATTTGTGAAATATGTTGTGGGCCCCCTTATATTTTTGACATTAGAACACCAACTTTTTTTTTATTAATGAATTGGAGCAATGGAGTGGTCTCTTGCTCAACCTGCATCCAGTATGACCTTGTGAGAGAAAGAGAGAGGGGTAGAGTTACAGCTGCTCTTATTGTGAACTCCTGTATGCCTTGGAGTGGTGCAGTGTACCAGTGACGTGTTTCCAAGTGGGAAGAATCCCTAGAACCACTACTCCAGACCTTCAGAGTGGCATTTTTCATGTGCTGGTTCACTTCCCAAATGCCTCAACTGCTGGAGTTGTACCAGGAGCTCCACTCCGGTCTCCTGTCTCCCACTTTTTCCACGGCACATCCACCAGTACATGAGCGGGAAGCCTGTTGGGAAGCAGAGCAGGCCTGACTTCAACTGGGGCTCCAACACAGGAAGGCCACCTCACCAGCAGCATCAGCACTGACTGCTCCATAACACCAGCCCCCAAGATCATCACTGTATCCCAAGGTCAGCTGACTGATCAGCAACCTTGATTCCATTTGCACCCGTTCCCCCCTCTTTGATGCTCCTTAATTCACAGGCTGCGGGGATGAGGGACTGAGCCTCTTTGGAGGGTTTTGATTCTGCTCAGCACAGCAGTGAGAAATAAAAAGAAGAATCAAAAGTTCTCCATCTTCTTTGGAGTCCTTCCCCGTTCCCACTTAAAGAATCTTATCTTTAATCCATCACAGGAGCTAAAAGCACACTAGCAGAGCCATATAATAACCAGTAGTAGATTTAGATAGTCTTGGAGAAGAGACATGGCACTTGTCTAAGCATCCTTATCTGTTAGAACAGAGCACAGGAGATGTTGCTGGTATCTCAGCTTCTCTCCCCTTCCCCCAGTGTCCCTCTATTGGACCTCTGAAGCAACCACACCTGTCATCCAAAGGGTGATGTCTCCTGGCCCCTGGGTATGTCTGCCAGGGTATCCTTGCTAACAGTTCCCTGTTTTTGTGTGTAATTCCTGATGCCAGCCTTGATGAGGTCTTCTGACGAGGTTGGGTGGCAGGAAGCCAAAGTCAGAAGAAGTTGAGCAAGGAACCCAAACCCATGGGCGGTGTGGGCATTTCCAAAAGGCATCTTAATGGATAAGTCAGCCACACAGCCATTTACTAGCCATTCTTGAACAGTACAAACTGATATACCAAATGACTTGTCAGAAAACTGACCCCAAGACATATTCACTTACATTCACTCACAGGCTACATCCGTGGCAACAAAGTGATCAGACACCTTTTATGTTTCAAATTGGACATGGTCTTAATGAGACATCTTGGTGCTGCCTTTTATCTTGACTTTTGAAAGGACTTGGATTTGCAGCATGCACTTAGATACCCTTCTCACTCAGCTTTTCTTCTTCGGGCATTTGTTTTTTCTCTGCCTTCTTATAGTCTGTATATATATGTCATTCACAATGCACCCTTTTAAATGTTTGTCTGAATATAGACAGATGAAGGCACAGGCGAAGTCCCAAGAGTTAACAATAGTATAAGACATTGAATTTGTAGTGAAATAGTCAGCCTGTGTGCAGCAGTCCTCTCAATTGCTAGAGAAAGTCATAATTTAAAAAAAATAATAATTCAAACAGTCCATTTGTCTTCCTGCCTCTTTAATTCTCAAGATCATATGCATAAAGCAAAAGAGAAGACTTCCAGATGCATTGAAAACTGATTTAATTTGTAGACATTGTCTGGGGCTTAAATGCGGACATCAAAGAGCCAATTATCAGAGTCCATTTGGTCCGAAGGCCCATTGCCTGAATTGCTATAGTTTTCCTCGTGCTGAAAAGGAAACACTGTGTCTCGTCTTGAAGACATGGTCAACAAAATAATCTCTTTATGTAGAATAGTTGAACTTGAAATCTGTGTCGGGGCTCACTAGCCACAAGGATGCGTTGAAAATATCTTTTCAAAACATAAATGGCAATTAAAAAAATAAGTGCATCTTACAGTTGCTACATCTCATATGAACAATTGTACCCTCTAGTGAGTAAGCATGCCTTTTAAATTCCCATTTTTTATCCCACCCGTTTTTTTGTTTTTGTTAAAAGACCTGTAGTCACAAGAAGTGTTGCTGCTGCAGCTGCTGGTGTGTGGGGTGTGTGTGTGTGTGTGTGTGTGTGTGTGTGTGTGTGTGTGTGTGTGTGTGTGTGTGTGTGTCTGGTGCCTGGGCCGTTGGTATCCATCTGTTTTTCTTCTGCTCTGCTGCCAGCGGTAAGCAAAGCAAACCGCAGGACTTTTATTCGTTCCGACAAAATAACTACATTAACCTTTCCTGCCCTTTCAAGGATAAAAGTTCTTTGGACAGGGAGCAGAAGCCTGCTTCTGTTTAGTGTTGGAATGACTTACATTTCCACCCCTGTCAGAAGAGGGCCATATGAAAGCTCTTCTGTCACTTTAGAATGAATCTTGGCCTTGTCTTTCAGATGTCCCTATGAGGAAACAAGTTTTTTTTTAAAAGGCCAAATATATAAATATATTTATTATTGTATATTTATTTATATATTTATTATGTATATATTTATATATTTGGTCTTTATATAGATATCTTTTTTAAACCAGAGCATAATTTTTTCCACACCATTTTTGAACAGTCATATTCAACATCAGACATGTTCTCCGTATTTTTTTTTCATTCTGATTTTCAGCAGCCTTGTGGATATTTGGTAATAGGAACCCTCTTGGTTGTAAGATGTGCTCACTCAGCCACTGTCCAAACTCACTTCACCCCCCTGGGAAGCCAGCACCTCCTTCTGCCAGATGCTGTGTCCCCACACCGGCAGGTGCACAGCGACTTGCTGCTTGTTTGCCTTCTAGGGTATACCCAGGCTGTTCGGGAGCGGATCACTGACTTCAGCACGCAGCAAAACATGCAGCTGGGGAGGCTGTGCGACATCGTAGGTACAGTACGCGGTTTCACACCCAGGACCCTTGGTGTGTGGATTTGTGAATGTCAATATGGTGCTTCTCTTTCTTGCTTATATTTTTTCCTCCCTACAGAAGGAAAAAAGCAAAACACAAAAAACCAAAAACACAAAACAGCAACAACAACAAAAAAAACTTTGTATGTCTCTCTACTCATAGTACAAGCAAATACTGAAGGAACTGATGGAACTGACATTTTAACTGGTTATTTGGGTTGGTTTCTAAGTTCTCTTTGTCCTAGGTTTTAGACTTACATTTCTCTCCAATGGGTCATATCCATCTATCTTGCTTCCTTTCTTCCTTCCTTCCTTCTTTTTTTTCTTTTCTTTTTAAAATAATTCCTCACAGAGAGCAAAGTGGAACTTTCCTAGTTGAGTCAGACTGGTCTGTCACACCAACTGGGGAATAAATTGGAGTTGGTATCAGGAATGAGGTGTGCTGGTTTCATTGTAAGGATAAGAGGAAAATGAAGATAGTTTTTTTTTTAGGGATGTTAAATAATTTTTAAGTTTTTCCTTTTTTATTTTATAGGTAAATCTAATAAACGTGAATTGGGATTCAGGATGGGTCACACAGCAGACTCACTGCATGCTTATATGTAAGACAAAATAGATTTTTTAAAAGATTCTTTTTAAACATCTAGCATTTAGTTATTAGAAAAATATGAAGTGGCTAGTGGAGGAGGATGCTTAAACTCTGATTGAATGGTACATACATTGCTCTAAAAGCCAGACTCTGATATTCCACCAGGCACCCACCTGGAATAGAGTGAGAGAACTGCCTGAAGGTGCTAGTTATGATAGACACTGCTTGGGGCCAGGTCCAGCTAACCACACAGCTTGCAGAGACCATGCCAGTATGCTGCGGCCGATAGGGAACCCAGGGCCAAAAGTTGTACCTTAGCTATTAAATAAAAAGGAAATTTCTTTTATTCGTGATCAAAATAAGAATATCTTTGTTTCGTTAAAATACAATTGCCATGGCCCTTATTTAAGCCAAACAAGGAAGAATTTTAAATTATCAATGACCAAACTTGGCTGGCTCCCTGGCATGACATACTTTACATGATTCATGTATATTTCAGCATCATTATTATTTTATAAATGCCATTGGGTAGCAAAAAAAAATCAGTTCTAGAAATTTACTGTGTCCTAAAATAATAATAGTATAATTGCTTTAATTTGTTATCTAGGCACTAATATTGTTTTTCAGCATTATAAAAAAAAAAGGAGCTTGTTTTTTCTTTTAAATGACTCAAGATTGATTTGTTAGCACTGAGCTATTTCAACTAAAAACCTGAGCAGATAGCAACCACGCAAGTACAGCAGAGGGCAGACTTGGCTGTCATTTATTTGAATTCATTTTTTTCCCCTTTTGGCTCTTTTTATACCTTTCTATAGATAGCACAAACCATCACCACAAAATTTCTTTGGAAAAACAAGCTCTCATTATGTAAAAAAAGATACTGGAATGTATTGGTCTTCTATTTTTAAGTAATTCCACATTCACAATGTGAATTTCCACCTGCAGTGGGAAATGCTGCTGATCTGGACAATTCTCCTGAGATTCTGCTTTTCTGTTGCTCTACTGTCTTCATGTTGGTACCACTCGGTCCTAAAGCCTCATCCAAAGCAGTCCTGGAAGTTTAGCCATGATTATTAGGGCTAAGAAAAAGCACTGAGTTGTGAGATTAAAAATACTAAGGAACTGGAACAGTGAGTGATAGCATTTTTGGACAAATAAATACTTTTCCTCTCCCATTAGTGGCCAGCAATACATGCTATTATTTTTGCTTGTGCAGTGGAGACAACAAGGATCCAATGGCCATGATCAGAGTTGTCACTTGCTACCAGCTGGGAAACAGGACTGTCAGGCTGAACAGAGGTGCTTCCAAGTCTTGGATGAGCGAGGTGACAAAGTGACAACTGACCAGTAGGCATGGACTCACCACTGGGACTTGAACCAGCAACAGACACAACTTTGAGTTTCCTCTCAGTCTCTTTCTGAACTTGCTGGCTTCACAATGAAACCACACTGACTGCTGAATGTTAGAGTTTGTGCAACTTGTGCCCTTGGCAGAAATGGTCAGCCAAAGAAGCACCGTGATTCTTACTGCTTGTAACCTTGAAAAGTCTTTATCCTCCTACTATTTGTGTTGTTTTTGTGTCTTATTCTTTCAACACACACACACCCTCCCTAGTTTGGTAAGACCATAAACTCTTTACAACCTAAGACTTGGAATAACCAGTTGGATCATTTAGCAAATGGACACAAGTTCATTCCTGTCTCCTTGATTTATTGAAGAGATGTATAGATTTCAAAATAAAAATGGGAACCACGTCAATATTTCCATGTGTGTGTGTATAATACCACCTACTCCAGCTCAAACCTGGGCCCATGCAGAAGACACAAACGGTGCACAGGGAGATTTCCCCGACATGTCATGGCACTCACTGAAGAGTATAAACCATGAAAGGGAGCAACAGAGGATACATCCCACCACCGTGTTAACTCCTGAGGTTCTGACACAGAGGAGTGCCCAGTGTGGGGGAGGTGGGAAGACCAGGAGGAGAGTCCCTTTGGCCCAGTGAGGCTGGGCTGGGCAGCAGATTTGCGCAGCAGGTTTGCTGGGCAGTGCCCACTTACTCCAGGCGGTGGTTCTGGAGCCTGACGCGGCTGCTCTTCACCACCCTGTGTCCCACATGGTTATACTACCCATTCTACAGCTGGAAAAAGCAGTGCTTGGAAAGGTCAAGTCACATGACTCAGGCCCTCAGCAGCTGCCCTAGGACTTCATCAGCCTCGATTCTGTAGCCTCTAACAGACTAAGAACAGTCTTTAAAATCCCCTTGTCAGCACTCCCTACCCGGAACTCTGCCGAGGTGCCCTGGAGTGCCAACTTCTCCTGCGTCCATAATGCCCGTGAACTGGTGGCACTCCTCACAGGCAGTGCGGCACTCACTTCCGGGGCTGGGCTTCCTGTGTGTCCAGCCAAGTGCTTCCGCACCCAAGAGTGCAAGGAAGGGACACTTCTCCATTACAGTCCTTTGCAGTATGCAGTGGAGGAAATCCCAGCTCACTGCTCCACGTGGATGGGCTGTCTCATTGGAATTTCCTTTTGGATACGCCCTACCTAGAAGCACATCTTCAGGAGAATAGTCTGAGGACAGCATCTCCTTTAAATCCAGAACACCGGATGTGCTATTTCAGAAGTCAGCACCGTTCTCCAAGGGTTTGGGCTTCCTGAAATCATCATTGCCGTGGTCATTATGAGACGGTCCCTGCATGGGTCCTGCTAGATCCAGGCAGAATAAGACATGACAATTTCATCAGCTTTCCAGCCCTGGCTTACCACTTACCATACTGGCATGGGTGCATGTTCAGAGCCATACACAATTTCTACTGACGTCAATGGGAATCATGTGGCTAAATCCCAGCTTGCTATCTGAAAGTACACTTGCATGGTCCCTCAAGGTCTTTCAGCTGGAGTCATTCTTGCCTCAGGTTTATCAGTGGTGGTATTTTTTGGCTTCTCTTTTAAAAGAGAAATACTGATATGCAAAAAAAAAAAAAGTCCGCTTGATTGCCAAGATGGGTACCCAGCCCACCTAAATGAAGTTCAACTGTGCCTTTTGGAGGTGCTGTTTGTTTTCAACAACACAGTCTCCACCAGATGCCAAGAGTTGACGATACTGCTTACGTTGGCGGTATTCATTAACCCTGTGCCTGTCGTTCATAGATGCCAACGTGGATGTCATCTATATCTGCCCCCATGAGATGAACGAGGAGTTACTGCTGTATTACCATAAAATCTTGAGTCTGCATGCAGCCGTGAAGTCAGGCAACATCGAGGACAGGAGTGACGTGCAAGACAGGTTCAAAGTCATCACCCCAGAAGCCGTGAACATCTTCACTGTGAGTCTCTCTTCTAATGACTAGAGCAATCGGGAATGCTGTAAAATTAAATTGGAAATTTTCTAACTCACCACGCACTGGTACACATCAGTGAAATATTATTGCAAGCTGAACAGCCTCACTGATTAGACAACTAGTTGGGCTGCAAGACATAAATATCCCAGTTTAACTTTCCATCTTAGCGGAGCTGCCCCTGCCCCGTCTCTCTGTGGCTGAGGCCTAATTACACTTCTGTTGGCAGGGCCGGCAAGGAAATGAGCTACCAGGGCTTTTTCATATTATCCTGTAGGAAAAATGCCAACCTATAAGACAAAGACCATGTCTGCCCACAATCACAAAGCCACTTACAAGCAGAAAACAGAACAAGACCCTGCTTTCTTGTCTTTCATTTTCTTAAGATTTATTTTATCCAAAAGGCAGAGAGAGAGTGGGAGAAGTGACAAGTGGAGGGAGATATCTTCCATCCACAGGTTCACTCCCCAAAGGGCTGGCAGTGGCTAGAGTAGGTCTAGGCTGAAACCAGAAGGCTGGAACTCCATTCAGGTTTGCCCCGAGGGCTTGGGCCACTTCTGCTGCTTTTCCCAGGCACGTTTGCGGGAAGTTGGATCAGAAATGGAGCAGCCAGAATTCAAACCAGCACACCTGTAGGATGCTGGCACTGAGGTGGCGAAACTGGCTGTACACAATAGCAGGCCCAGGCCTCAGTTTCTAATCTCCATACAGGAACTTGTTGCTTCTCCAAAGCTTTCTTTCCCTTGGGAGACCATGACCTGAAATTTAGCAGTGTTGTGACATGGTTCATCATAAGCAAGGTTAGATGTTTTTCTTAATTGGTACTGGCTTTTAATGAACAAAGTGAATTATCCCTAGACAAGAGCCTTTGGAAAAATTCATGAATAAGAATTCATGAATAAGGCAGTACAACAGAACACTTGAATAAATTTCTCTACATTTTAATAAGAAATTAAGTTTTCCATGTAAACAACCAACATTTTAATTACAAATAGGCTATGCAAGTTTTATTTTTTTAATGTTTGTTTGAGAGGCAAAAGAGATGGGTAGAAAGAGTGGGAGAGCTCTCATATGCTAGTTCGTTCCCCCAAATACCCACAATAATTGGAGCTTTGGCTACAGCCAAAGCCAGAAGGTGGGATCAAAATCCAGGTTTCCCATGCAGGTGGCAGGAATCCAGGTACTGAGGCCGTGACCACTGCCTCCAAGGAGCTGCATTAGCAGGAAGCTAGAGCAAGAGCTGCTGCCAGGATCAATCCCAGATACTCCAATGTGAAATCCGGGCATCTTAGCATCTAAGCCAAACATATCTGCTCCACTGCTACATAATTTTAAAGAGCCTCCCCGCCTTTTTTTTTTTTCTTCTGGTATAACGGGAGGTCACTGAATTTCCTGATAACATCACTCCCTCCATTTACAATTGGGATGCACCAAAGTCAGCTCACTATCTCTTGCCAGGGGCACTGCAGCTTTCCATAAGAAACAGCTATTCACTGGATTACAGCCCATGGACGCGCCATGATTAACCTTGAAGCAATCAACCAACAGAAGCAAGGCCAAAGGCAGAGGGTGGGGCCTGGCATGGACTGGGGAGGGCAACTGTTGCATCTCTTCTTTGCTGGTTGCTCAAGTGAATTGCAATCAGGATTTTTATGTGTTCATAACAAGATTCATTGGTATTTCCACCCTTCCCTCCTGCTCATCGAATGACCGCTTTGCTCCTGAGTGAGCCCAGGGCCTTGGCCAAGCCCCTTTACTTCTTCAAACCTCCTTTCCTATCCATTAAATGAGGTATGAGTGAGATCATTTCAAAGTTCTCTCCAACTCCATGCTCCTACTGCCTGAGAAATGTACCCCTCCAAGTCTCTCCTTACCACGTAGGGGGTACCTGGCAGGGCTTGAGCCTATATGAGGAGAAGCAAGTAGAGTCTTTTCTTCTCTTCATAGCTGGTGTGGAAATTATTTGAGTAATTAATCACTCATAGGCAATCGACTTTTTAAAATACAAAAAAATTAAATGCTCACTTTCAAATCAATTCCCGCTCATGTTGAGTTGTTGCTTTATTTCTTTTTAATGGGTTCGGGAGAGATTGTATCAGTGCTGATTTTCATTCAAATGGATGGCTTGGAGGAGATTTTTTTTTTTTTAAGCATGCCAAAAATCTGTACATCTCTCCAAGTTGCTGCACAATGCTTGAATCTGTAATGATAAAAAATGTTCTCCCAAGAGTCCTCACATCTATGTTTGGACATTCTAATGTTTATTAAGACATTCTCAGCAATTGCCTTCTGTCCCAGGTCAAACAAACAAATAAACAAACAACAACAAACCAGGAGTGATATGTTCAAGGTAGCTATATTGCAATAGAGTTGGGAACAGTTCAAATTTTTGTCACCTGCTGGCTGGCTGTGGTGGGAGTGATTGTCTCTAAATGGCTGTCTAAGACCTACACTCAGTGATATGCTCATGACTGCCACTCATTCACGTTTGAATCTCCATTCAACACACACTGAACATAATCCCATGATGCCACCTAGCCTGAAGAACAAGGCACCCGTCCCCCACAGAGGACTCCACGTAAGAAGCAAACCCACAGGAGCCAGAAACCCATCCAGGCCGGAAATGTACTCAGAATTTCAACATTACCTTCCATTTGGTGGGGACCCTGATTAATATTAGGCGGCTGCATCTGCCACCATTTTATCACATCTCTTCAACCCACCAGACCTGCCACTCCTCACTGGATAAAACAGGGGCTGGTGGCAGCAGGGCAGGCCAGCCAGGCCAGCTGGGTTCAAATCCTACCACTATTTTTGGCCAGCTGAGGGATCCCAGGCTGACCACTTAAACCCCAATTTCGTCCTCTTCAAGATAGACTGTAATGGGTCTGGGTATGGTCTGGATCCCACTTCACCATGAGCACTTGGGGCCCTGGGACACAGGACACTCTTCTGAGTAGAAAGTCCACTTTAGACATTGTGGACAGGGACCCAGTTAGGGTTTGTTTATAATATTATTATTTTTTTTCCTTGGATTTGCAGGGAAAGGGAAATGGTGAAATAAATAAGGCAGACAGTTACCACTGCCTGAGCAAGTGCTGGCCCTAGTCAGCATCTGCTGGGACACCAGGTTCCTCAGCCTGAGCTCCCAGAAGTGGGCTTTTAATATGAATTGAAATGATAGCAGGAAAGGCCTATTGGGTAGCTAGAAGGAGCTCAGACTAGACCCTTTAGGCTGAAGGCAGGACCCAGTATGATAAGAACTCACAGAAGAGTTCTGGGGTTGTAGAATATGATTGTCACCATTCGTTGATTATTAAGATCCAGTGGCAGGCCTTCTACTGAGTGTCTTACAGCACTCCAGCCAGTGGATATTTTAGTTTCCCTTGAACATATGTAGAAATTGGCTCAGGGATTCTAAACCAGGCGCCTGGGTTCGTGTAGTCTGGTGCTGGATTCAAATCCAGTTCTGTTTGACTTCAAATCCTACCCTCTCTCTCTCTCTCTCTCTCTCACACACACACACACACACACACACACTGCCAACAGCTCTTCTTTGTGTCACACTGCTGGCTTCTCAGAGGAAGTGAACGCTATCATGACCCTCAGACCCTCAGTGAATGGCTTTTCCGTGACCATCTTCACCGGGGAATATCCTCCCCCCTCCGTAAAAACCTCATACGGTTGGTGCTAATTTTGTCCAAGGCACACACATTATCTCATTCACGCCTCCTCGCATCCCCACTGAGATGGGGACTGGAATTGCCTACCTTTCACTAAGAAGGGAATTGAGGAACCAGGAGAATGAGCAAGTTGCCTTCTCGGCTCTTCCCACCAATTCAAGACCTCTGCCTCTCATCTCTCCCTGAGGCATGCTGTGGCTCCCTGTGGCCCTGGGCTGCCTAGGGTTGGTTATGGGTTCACTGTTCTCATTTGTATACCTACTCCTTGGAAGCTGAAGCATGGTTGGATTAGTTTAGCTGTGTGCTGACCATCTGGCTCCATTCGCTGCCTCTATTAGACATGCCAGGATTCTTTATTTAATTGAATGAGACAGTCGTGTATACTCCAATGTCTCCAACTAATCAAAAATCAAATAAGAAGTATTTTCTTTTTCTATTCTTTTTTTTTTTTTTAGAAAAGGAACCAGAGACTTGCTGAAATTTTCAAATATTTTCCATTTGTGAATTGCTTCCAGAACTGTTGGCTAAATGGCCCCCTTCCCACTTCAACAATCACCGTAAGAACGCCTGTTTTCTGAAATGGGTGGAATTTTGCAAAGAGGGGATCAAGTCAAATGCCTTCTCCCACTGGAGCCAAGAGTTGCCAGATTAGGCATCTGACTCTCGCGGAATACCACGGGGGGCTTCCTCCTTCGTTTTTTCTATTGATTTTCCAGACGCTTTAGTGTTAAACCATGCCAGAAGAGTCGCAGAGATGAATCACTGTGATCCAAAAGGCCGCCAGCCTCCTCTCCTTCTGACAGAAGGATAATTCCACGTGGATCAAATAAATACAGATGTGTAGTAATTAGTTCTATTCCCAGTGAGCCTATTTCCTACACACTAAAGATGTGAGCGATTATGCAACCTCACTCCAGCGGCTTTGATCAATTTAAACCACTCAACAACGGGATAGGTCATCACCCAGCCTGCTATTAATAATGTATTGATGATGCGCAACGTCATAAATGAGATGTCTGGACTAGAAAATGGACACCTTTTAACCAGAATAACATGGTCTTTCCCTTCCTGCCCTCCCCCGCCCCTCCAGAAGCATCACATGTGCCTGGCCACTCACTTGCTGTACAGTCCCAAGGCCATCAAAAGAATCAAAAACCTCATCCAAGGCAAAGAGGCCTACATCATTGGTGGCGTCCTCCACAGAGATGACCTGGCTGTGGCTGATATGCTGGACGTACCCATCCTGGGCACAGAACCTGGGCTGGTCCACCTTTACAGCAGCAAGTCTGGAAGCAAACGTGTCTT